TTTATATTGAGATGTAATCCATACTGCAGACTGTATTCTTCAGTCTTCATCAGTAAGTGCTTCAAGTCATCCTCACTTTCAGCAAGCAAAGTTGTGTCGTCAGCGTATTGCAGGTTGTTAATGATTCTTCCTCCAATCCTAACACCACATTCTTCTTAATATAGTCCACCTTCTCAGATTGTTTGCTCAGCATACAGATTGAATGAGTATGGTGAAAGGATACAACCCTGACGCACTCTCTTCTTGATTTTAAACCATGTAGTGTTCCCTTTTTCTGTTAGAATGACAGCCTCCTGGTCTATTTACAGGTTCCTCATGAGTATAATTTAGTGTTCGAAATTCCCATTCTTCTCAATGTTATCCACAATTTGTTATGATCCACACAATCAAATGCTTTTGCATAGTCAATAAAATACAAGTAAACATCTTTCTGGTATTCTTTGCTTTCAGTCAAGATCCATCTGACATCAGCAATGATATCCCTCCATTCCATGTCTTCTTCTGAATCCAGCTTGCATTTCTGGAAGTTCTCTGTTAATATACTGCTGCAACCGTTTTTGAATTATTTCCAGTAAGATTTTACTTGTGTGCGATATTAATGATGTTGTTTGATACTTCCCACAATCAGTGGGATCACCTTTCTTTGGAATGGGTACAAATATGAATCTCTTCCAGTCATTTGGCCAGGTAACTGTCTTCCAAATCTCTTGGCATAACTGAGTGAGTGCCTCCAGCAGAACATCCCTTTGCTGAAACATCTCAATGGGTATTCCACCAGTTCCAGGAGCCTTGTTCTTCGCCAATTCTTTCAGTGCATCTTTGACTTCTTCCTTCAATACCATTGGTTCTTGAACATATGCCACCTCCTGAAGTGGATGAAGGTCGACCAGTTCTTTTTGGTACAGTGACTCTGTGTACTCCTTCCATTTTCTTTTGATGCTTCCTGCATCATTCAATATTTTGCCCATAGAATCTTTCAATATTGTAACTCAAGGCTTAAATTTTTTCCTCAGTTCTTTCGACTTGAGAAATGCCAAGTGTGTTCTTCCCTTTTGGTTTTCTAACTCCAGGTCTTGGCACATTTCATTATAGTAATTGGCTTTGTCTGCTAGAGGTGCTCTTTGAAATCTTCTGTTCAGCTCTTTTATCTTGTAATTGCTTCCATTTGCTTTGGCTACTCTTCACTCAAGGGCAAGTTTCAGAGTCTCTTCTGACATCCATTTTGGTCTTTTCTTTCTTTCTCGTATTTTTAATGACCTCTTGCTTTCTTCATGGATGATGCTCTTGATGTCATCCCACAATTCTTCTGGTTTTCGATCATTGGTATTTAATGCATCAAATCTATTCTTTAGATGGTCTTTAAATTCAGGAGGGATATATTCAAGACCACATTTTGGCTCTCATGGACTTGTTTTAATTTTCTTCAACTCCAAGTTGAACTTGCATATGAGCAGTTGATGGTCTGTTCCACAGTCAGCTTCTAGCCTGGTTTTGGCTAAAGATATTGAACTTTTCCATTGCCTCTTGCCACAGATGTAGTCAATCTGATTCCTGTGTACTCCATCTGGTGAACTCCACGTGTATAGCCACCATTTGTGTTGTTGGAAAAATAGTATTTGCAATGAATAAGTCATTGTTCTTGCGAAATTCTATCATGCACCTGCGGGCTTGGGACCATAGTTGCAGGGGACATCAAGCTCAATTGGCATAACATACTATACAAAACATTGGTCCACCTCCTACTTTGGCGAGTAGCGACTGGGATCTTAAAAGCTAGTAAGCTGCCATCTAGATGCAACAACGGGTCTCTCCTCATCAAGAAGAAAGAAGAAAACCAAATGAATGGAAACAATCAGTCCTAGCGACTGGTACACCATCTGATCTGCAACCTATACAACTATGAGACCAGAAGAACTAGATGGTGCCCAGCTAC